GTTGCATTCATTGTCAAAAAGAACATAACAAGATCAGTCATGAAGTACAATGCTGTCTGATAGGATAATATCCATACACCTACAGGGAAGACCAGTTAATACCACTATTATTCAAATTTATGCACCAACCACTAAAGCCAGTGAGGGTGAAACAGAAGAATTCTACCAACTTCTTCAATCTGAAATTGATCAAACATGCAATCAAGTTGTATTGATCATTACTGGTGGTTGGAATGCAAAGGTTAGAAGCAAAGAGGAAGGAGCAGTAGTTGGAAAATATGGCCTTGGTGATAGAAATGATGCTGGATATCACATGATAGAATTCTGAATAACTGATGATTTGTTCATTTCAAATACCTTCTTTTGACAGCATAAGATATGGACACATGGACCTTACCAGATGAAATACACAGAAATCAAATTGACTACATCTGTGGAAAAACTCCTTAATCATCAGCCAAAACAAGACCAGGAGCAGATTGTGGAACAGACCATCAATTGCTCATATGCAAATTCATACTGAAGCTGAAGAAAATGAAAACAAGTATGAGAGCCAAAATATGACCTTGAATATGTTGTTGTTGTTGTTAAGTGCGACCTTGAATATATCCCACCTGAATTTAGAGATCTGTTTTGGGTAGTACTAGCATTTTAACAATGTTAAGTCTTCTTATCCATGAACCTGGCATATTCTTCCATTTTTGTAAATATATTTTGACTCCTTGTAGTAGTGTTGTAGTTTTCTTTGTATAGGCCTTTTGTTTCTCTATTAAGATTTATTCCTAAGTATTTTATGTCTTGGGTGCCTATTTAAATGGTATCATCTTCCTAATTTCCTTTTCAGTTCTGTCTTTATTATTATAAAGGATTACAACTGATTTTTTAATGTTCTTATATATTGCCACTTTGCTGAATCTTCCAATGAGTTCCAATAATTTTCTTGCTGAGTTTTTGCAATTTTCTATATATAGAATTATATCATCTGCAAATGGAGGTAATTTTACTTCCTCTTTGCCAATTGGGATATCTTTAATTTCCCTTTCTTGCCTTATACCTTTGGCTAAGACTTCCAACCCAGTATTGAATAGGAATGATGGTGAATGGCATCCTTGTCTTATTACTGTTCACAAAGAGAATGCTTTCAGTTTCTGTCTGTTCAGAGTAATGTTGGCTGTTGGTTTTGTATATATGCTCTTTATTATGTTGAGGAATTTCCTTTCAGTTCTACTTTGTTGAGTGTTTTTATCAGGAATGGATGTTGGATTTTGTAAAATGCCCTTTCTATATCAATCGATATGATCTTGTGGTTCTTTTCCTTTTTTTATTTACATAGTGGATTATTTTCATTGTTTTTATAATATTGAAACATCCTTACATCCCTGGTATAAATCTCACTTGGTCTTGATGTATTATTTTTGGTAAGTCGTTGAATTCTATTGACTTGGATTTTTTTAGAATTTTTACATCTATGTTCATCTGGGCTATTGGTGTATAATTTTCCATTTTAGTGATGTCTTTTCCTGGTTTTGATATGAGGATTATACTTGTTTGATAAAATATATTAATTATCTTTCCATCTTTTCAATATTTTGGAATTGTTTGAATAGAATTGTTGTCAGCTCTTCTTGAATGTTTGGGAAAATTCAACAGTGAAGCCATCTGGGCCTGGGCATTTTTTGTTGGGAGTTTTTTGATGACCGGATCAATTTCTTGCTTTGTTATATGCCTGTTAACATTTTCTACTTCGCTCTGTTTAGGTAGGTCTTGTTTTTTTAAAAATGTATCCATCTCCTGTATATTTTCAAATATGTTGGAGTACAACTCTTCATAGTATTTTTTGGTTTTGTTTTTCATTTCCATTGGTTCTGTTGTGACATCACCCATGTGGTTTCTTACGCATTTTATTTGTGTCTTCTTCCTCTTTTATTTTGTTAGATTTGTCAATTTTATAATCCTTTCAAAGAATAAGCCTCTTGTTGAGTCTTTCTAGTTTTCCTGTTTTCTATCTCATTTATTTCTGCTGTAATCTTTATTATTGTTTTTCTTCAGGTGACTGTAAGTTTATTTTTCTGGTCTTTAATTCTTAGAGATGTTGTTTTAATGTGTTCATTTTGGTTCTTTCTTCTCTTTTGATGTGTGCATTTATTGCTTTATATTGTCCTCTCAGCACTGCTTTTGTCCCAAAACCTTTCTGTCCCAAAGGTTTGGTATGTTGTGTTTTTGTTCTCATGTGTTTCTAGAAATTTTTTAATTTCCCTTTTTTATTTGTTCTACTCCCCAGAAGTTTTTAAGCAGAGTGTTATTCAGTTTCCATGTATTTGAAAATATTTTCTTGATCTTCTTATTGTTTATTTAAATTTTATAGTATTGTGCTGTGAGAAAATGCTTTGTAGTATTTTGATGATTTCAGATTTATTGAGAGTTGTTTTGTGGCCTAGCACATGGTCTATTCTGGAGAATTTTTCATGTTCACTGGAAAAGAATGTGTATTTTGCTATTGGGTTGAATGTTAGTTCCTCTATATCTTTGTTGAGTTTCCTTGTAGTTGCTATTTCCTTTTTCGAATGTGGTGTGTTAAAATTTTCCACTACTTTTGTATGCTTGTCTATTTCTTTCAATTCAATTCAGGTTTGTTTTTTATATTTTTTAGCTGTTTCCATGGGAGCATAAATACTCATTATTGTTATGTCCTTTTGTTCAATTGACCCTTTAATTATGATATAATGTCCTTCTTTGTCTCTTGTGCTGGGTTTTGCCTTAAAGATTATTTTTATTAAGAGATTAATATTACCACTCTTGCTCAGTTTTGTGTGTTTTTTTTAATTGCAATTAGCTTGGCATAATTTTTTTTTTTCATTTTTAATCTATTTTTATCATTTTATTTAACATGTGTCTTTTTTAGGCAGCATCCTGTTTTCTTACCCATTCTGCTACTCTCTGTCTCTTGACTGGTACATTTAATCCATTGACATTCAGTGTCATTATCAATAGGTATGGTTTAACTGTTGTAATTATGCTATTTTGTGTGTGTGTGTGTGGTGTTGCTGGTTTCTTTATTCTGTATGTTAATCCTGTCTGTGCTGAGTTCGTTTTATGATTTTTTTTTTTCACTTTATCTTGTCAATTTCTTCATAGTTTTAATATTTCTAAAATCTTGGATTTTCCTTTTCTTGATTTGATGTGGAGATATATTGTTTCTTTTAGTTTACCCTATACTTTATTAATTTATTTCTCATTTTAAAAAACTGTCTATTTGTCCTAGAATATATATAACCTCCTTTCCACCTGGATCTCTGTTACTATAATTTCCCCTTGTTTTGCAGTTGTCCTGATCATAGACTGACCTTCCAGATCCTCTAATTTCATTCTTATAGTTTTGTTCTGGACTCTTCCATTTCTGGACTAAGTTCTGGGTGGTGTTGCCACATATTTCACTCTTTGGTGTTGTTTGCTATTGTTGGCTATCAATCAAAAGAACTTCCTTAGTTTATTTTGAAGTGCTGGCATGGCTTTTACAAAATCCCTAATTTCTTCTTATCCTGAAATGTTCTGATTTCACCATCATATTTGATTGACTGCTTTGCTGGTTCTATAAATCTTGGCTGGCAGTTTCTTTCTTTCAAAGTTTTGTATATGTCTCTCCATTGTCTTCTTGCCTGCTAAGAAATTAGAGCTTAATTTTACTGGTTTTCCTAACTGCTTTCAAGATTCTTTCTTGGTCTTTGATTTTGGAGATGTCAATTATAATATATATTGGTGATTTTCTTTTGGGGTCTATCCTGCCTGGGGTTCATTCAGCTTCTTGAATCTTATCTTCTCATTTTCAAGATGTTAAAGAAATTTTCTTCCAGAAGCTCTTCAACTATCTTTTCTGTGGTAGCTTGTGAGTTGCTGTGATTATGAAAGCTATGCCACTGGTATATTAAATACCAGCAGGGTCACCCCTGGTGGACAGAAAAGGTTTCAGATAAGCTTCCAGACGAAGACAGACTAGGAAGAAAGAGTGATGAACTACTACCGAATATTTAGTCACTGAAAACCTTATGAAAATTTTTAATTGAAAATTAAAACTGAAATGATTGACTAAATGAGATAGTTTTAAATAAACTTGTAAAGTTTTAAAACCTTATTTGTTTCAGTAGGTTGCACATTCAAGTGGTACAAATTTCAAAGGCTATATGGAAGCATGCTGTCAAAAACCCCTACCAACTCCAGTCCCTCGAAAGCCCCAGTATCACCAGTTTTTTAGTGATTCTTTAGAAGCTGTTTTATGTATACATATGCAAATACATATATATCTCTCCCTCTTGTCCTCTCCATACTCAGGAGAATGATACACTATTGAACACTTTGCTTTGGTTACTTGGCAATATCACTGAGATCATCTGTAGTCTGTGTGTGAAGAATGTCTCTGTTTTCCTGGCTATAGGTAATCACAGTGTATTAGTGCACACACATAGATTGTGAAACAGTTCCCTCCTAGGGGAAACTTATTTGACACCCAATCTTTTGCTGTTAAATGTACCTAAATGGTTGCAGTTTATCACCTTCTATGTATGTCACAACACACCATGGAATACCGTTTCTTGGATAATTCTTTAGATGGGTCACTGAGTAATAGGAAGTATGTTTGCCCCTTGGGTGCACGTTGCCAAATTGCCCCCTTGGCAATGAGCCTGCCGATACGAATAGTGACACGATTCCAAAGCTGGGTCCCACTTCCCTTCTGACATATGTATAGGCAAAGAATGTAGTATGTGTGTGTGTTTTCTGCTCTAATTCACGATATTCTAGTGGTCACAAGCATGTCTCTTTGTTCCATCAGTCCTTGGGTCACGTACACATCTCCAGTGCCATGTGAGTCACTGCTTCCTGCCTGGTTAGAAAAAATAACAAAAAATCATACTTACAAATTAGTAAAAGTCAAATGGAAGGGAGGTACTTATAAATCTGTGTGCTGAGCTTTGACAGAATCCACTTTGTCTTTACAATGTTCACAGAGTACCCAGGGGATTCAGGAATTGCTGGATGTGGCAAAACAAGAAATTCCCTTTGACTTCTGGAAGGTTACTCCTGTAGTCCTCAAGGCAACAGCTGGATTACGCTTATTACCAGGAGAAAAGGCCCAGAAGTTACTGCACAAGGTGATTTTATCCGTTTTTCCCTTTGGAGTGGTCAATGATAATTGAATGTTTCTCTCAAGCCTGCCTGTTCTCTTGGTGGAAATTACTGGTCCCATTCTTAAAATCCTCACCACTGGACCAATAAAAAACATTCAAGTGTTGAAGAGCCAAGACGTCAGCTTGAGGACTAAGGTGCGCCTGACTCAAGTAATGGTCTTTTCAATAACCTCACATGCATGCGAAAGTTGGACAGTAAATAAGGAAGACCATAGAAGAATTGAT